CCCAGTCTGCTTAGGCGTCATGAGGGTAGCCCCAGTCTGCTTAGGCGTCGTGAGGGTAGCCCCAGTCTTCTTTGATGAAGTCAGCGCCCCTCTCGCCGATCATGACGGTTGTGGCCATCGTGTTGCCGGTGGTAATTTGTGGCATGACAGACGCGTCCACCACACGCACTCCAGATACACCACGCAACCTGCATGCCATTCCCACAGGCAGTTAATGAAAGCATTTATAATTAGATTGTATATAAACAGTTTTTAATTGAACTTATAGTTTGAATACCACGTGAATATAATTATTTTGGGTTTCAGGCTGTATAGAGGTGTTAATAATGTCCCGTTAGTATTTACGGGAAGTGGGCACTGTCATAATGATGTCAACATGCAAGCAAAAGCACTCGGTCTTGCGGAATGAGCGAGAGCCAACGTGACCTACCTTCCCTTCAAATATATCACCCAAATTAAAACATCAATTGACATTGTGACATTGGTGACAAAAGCTACCTCTATTTTCGAGTTTAAAACCCCAGCCGACATACCCACCAGTCAAACTATTATTTGAACGCCAGCTTCAAAATGTTGTGATAACTACGAGTACTCTAAAAGACCTAAACCGTGCGTTTTCGATGTTCTTTTGTTCTCGTTTTAATCCTGTTCTTGCCATTCAATTTGTATTCGAATTTTGTTGAAATTACCGTCGTTTCCTAAGAGAATAAATCTGGTGCAAGGCTTCTCCGTTATTGAACTGAATTATGCGAGCTCGGAGATGTGCTCGTCAAGTTTCTACGTGTGTTTTTTTAATGAAACTGGATAAATTATTAGCGAGTAGAAGTGACATCAATCTATACTACTTCCGCAATTAAAATTAACTATGTAATTAAATTAATAATTGAATTTTTGATTGAAAAACAGGAGACTCGTCGTAAAACACAACATCCGAGGATAATCAACGAAGCCTCGTAAAAACCTTCACCTGAGCCGATGCGTGACCACCCCGAGGGGGTCGGTGGCCGGCGCCATCTTGCATGTGCCCACGGGATGCCAAAAGCTGGTGAGCAGATGGCGCACGTAGCACTCCCAGTAGGCGTCCGTGAACAGCACCCAGTTCTCGCAGCCCAACAGCGGCTACAATAACACATATTTTAGGAACCCGATAAAGTTGCTAAAACTTGCCTTATTTGTCACACTGTGCAGTTGTGGGGGCAGTTATTCCTGCAAAATGCTTCAAACTTAGAAAGAAACGCTTACTGGATACAAGATTTCACAAGCCAATCTTGACGTAAATCCAAAGTTGGCATAAATTTGTTAATTTCTTCCCAACGAAACGTATTGTTAATTTGTTAGAGGCTATACGATTTGATAGCGTTAGTTCGGCACCCAGCGCAGATGACTTCTATTACGTTTTCTTAACCCCGTCTGTTTATGGGTTACAATTTTTGGAAATTTGAAACAAGAAAAATAAAAAAATCTGGCACTTGCGTTTCACTTTTCGTTACACCGATGAATGTCGGTTTTAGAAGCGGGCACCAGAGGGCTGTCTATTGGGCGAACAGACGCGGCAATCCTGCTGTTGCTGCTGCTGTGGCATCCACCTGGCGAGATGCGCGGCGCAGTTATGTCGACCTTCTTTGATCTAAAAAAGTCATTTGGCGCCAAAGAGTTGACACGCAACGCAGCCACCCTCGAGCTCTATGGCGTTCGCTGGATAATGGGAAGAAGTCATACTCATGCTTCGAGAGACGTAAGCGTTGAGGAATTCTATGCTGTTTTTGAAAATAAGATTTCAGCTGTGCGAGGCTGCGAGCGTCGACAGCCGATGCTCCGTCCGCAACATTTACGCAGTGCCCATTCGACTGCGAGCTTCAGGTATTTTGTCGACGCCAAAAGACGGAACTATTTCGTAGACCCGTCGAATCAAGTACTTACTCATTTTTATCTGTTCTCGTCCTATCTCGTGTCTATTTATTTTTCGCTTGCGGCAAATTACAAAAAAAGTTTATTTTATGTTTTAATTAAAACACGTTACATTGGAGTACTCAATTTGTGTGTCTGATAATTTCCACATACACAAAACCCACGTTGTAACAATTTGGGAGGCAGGAAGGATACCTGTAGCTATTGTCAAATGTTTGACGGTGGAGTATCTTCGCATACTGAACTCCTCATAATGACTTCATAGACACAAGTGCGACAAGAACACGAATTTCTTTCAGTTCATGATGAATTCTTCTAAAACGATTAGAAAGTGCCATGAGTAGCAATTTCTCAAGTTATATAACATTACAGTTAAATACCTGATCACACTTACTTTTAAATAGAGTCTGGCACCTAGGCCTTCCCTGACAGCTGTCGTGTTGCCGATTCCAATAGCAAACTTAATCCCTGAAAAAAATTTCGTATGCTTATGACATTAAAAATCATTAGATCATTGTAGATACACACTGAATTAAAAATCAATTCCTCATTAAAACTAAATTAAGACTATCGCATCACTTCTTCTTCCTCTTCATAAAACAGTGGATACTCCATAATTGAAAAAAAAACACCACTACCGACGGTGCACATGCACGCACGGGCAGCATTTGAAAACGTCTTAATAAAAAGCCGTTTAAAATGTTTCAGTAAGAATATGTATCGTAGACCACCCTCAGCCAGCCTTGTACCGCAGAATTACGGCAAAATTATACACTTGTGATTATGTCCAATGGGCAGGTGTTATAAAATTTCATAGAATGCATGATTATTAAGTTACTATTGCCGATCGGGATGAGAAAACTCAATTGATCTGCTTACGGTCGACAATCTCACCAGCCGTGATTTATTGTCATGTTGCATGAAAATGTTGTCTTTGATACTTGATTCTAAATATTAACGTGTAGGATTTTTATATGTATCATCCGTTGGATCATTCTTATCGTTCACTAGAATGTAAGAGAGTGTTATTGTAACCAACAATGATTATGTCGAAATCGTTCATTCTTACATCGTGAAGCGATCTCACCAGCAATGATATCTTTAAGATCATCAGGATGCTGAAGGAAGTTAGGGTCGATGATAGGATGATCATATGGGTTACGTGACCTGAGCAGCACGCGCCCCCGACTCTTTGGTCTGCTCAGCATGGGCGCGAAGTGGATGGTCTCTTGGTGCTGCAAGACGCCGTACAAGTTCTGGAAGTACTGCACGAAACACGCTTGTGAAAATTGCGAGTTAAATGCAAGTAATCGTGCAAGTTAGATCTCCATCTAGTCATTGTGTTGTAGATCAATCATACGAATAAGATCTACACACAGACATTGTGTTTTAGAGCAATCGTACGAATAAGGTCTACAGACAGACATCGTGTAGTAGAGCAATCATACGAATAAGGTCCACACACAGACATTGTGTTGTAAAGCAATCATACAAATAAGGTCTACACACAGACAATGTGTAGTAGATCAATCGTACGAATAAGGTTTACACACAGACATTGTGTAGTATATCAAACGTACGAATAAAGTCTACACGCAGACATTGTGTAGTAGCATACGAATAAGATCTATACCTCCTCATTGTGTGCAGAGCTCGTCAAAAATCACGAATAAATATGAAAAAAATAAGTGTTGTAGGGCTAATAAATTTTCAGGACAAAAAATGTCCGCCTGCCTTCTTCAGAGACATTAAAGCACCGGACGACAATGAGTGTCACCTAGTTAGTGGCATGACCGCTTGTGCCACTCACAGCACTCGCGGCATGACTGCCCGTGCCACTCACAGCACTCGCGGCATGACTGCCCGTGCCACTCACAGGACTCGCGGCATGACTGCCCGTGCCACTCACAGCACCCCGCGGCATGACTGCCCGTGCCACTCACAGCACTCGCGGCATGACTGTCCGTGCCACTCACAAGACTCGCGGCATGACTGTCCGTGCCACTCACAAGACTCGCGGCATGACTGCCCGTGCCACTCACAGCACTCACGGCATGACTGCCCGTGCCACTCACAGCACCTCGCGGCATGACTGCCCGTGCCACTCACAGGACTCGTGGCATGACTGCCCGTGCCACTCACAGGACTCGCGGCATGACTGCCCGTGCCACTCACAGGACTCGCGGCATGACTGCCGTGAATGGCATGACCACTTCCACCACTCACCGATTTCCTCAGTCCAGAAAAAGTTGCGGACAAAGCCCCTCCATCGTAGTTGGGGGCCACGGACGAGGCGTAGACCTGAACGTTAGGCCAGCCTGCGTTGTGGTCTTCACCCAAGTTCACCCACGCGTTGCCTTCGATGCCGAAAGGAGCCGCAAGAAAACCTGGAGCCGCAAGAAAACCTGGAGTCGCAAGAAATAAAAAAAGGAGCCGCAAGAAAACCTGGAGCCGCAAGAAATAAAATGGATGTTATCCTGCCTACTGGACGGGCTGGCACACAATGCTCAAGTCAATATTCTAATTATTAATTATTATAATTATTCATATTCATTATTATTCTCAAGTCAATATTCAATGCTTATTCAATATTCAATAATCAAATTTAACTTTGAATACATCTAGCAAAAGGAATGCCTTCTAAATGATGAATTATTTTATTGGTTAATTTTGCATGTTAGTACAAATTAGGCAAGTGCTTAAAAATGTATGGGAAAAATATTAAAATCAAATACATATCAATTCGGAATGACTGCAGCAAAAAAATCTCAAAATTTACAGTTCGTCTTAACGATTTTATTCAAATCAGTTATTAAACAAAGCTACAGACAAACTGTAAGCTTACTACGACTATATAGGAACCTGCTAAGGGTACGTACGAACACGAAGCGATGGGTCAAACTGTTTACAACATCATTAAATAGTCAAACAATCGTCTTGCAGGAGTTTCTTGACATGACAATAAAAGAATTGAAACTCAAAGATCGCTTGCCGAAGCTTCAGCAGCCGATGAGCTTCACCGCAAAAAATCTAGGCGTGTTGAATAATCGTTTGTAAAAAGGGTTGGACTTGCCCACCTTGATGGTGTTGCAGGGTTAAGGTTGCCCACCTTGATGGTGTTGCAGGGTTCAGATTGCCCACCTCGATGGTGTCGCGCGTAGTTCGCGTAGCTCTGAGGGTCGAAGAAGAGGTTGGGTGGCAGGGCGGCGCCCCGGCGCACCGTCCACACCAGCGAGTTAACCACGTGGTGGTCGTTCAGGTTGCGCCCTACTCCCTCCAGCTCAGCGACCACGGTGATCTGTGAGGCAACCCTAGCTTCATTTATCTCATTACTATTTATACGATGATAAAGAAACCATCAGTAATGTCAATGTCAGCCAGGTACTCAAGCATATTTGCAGTACTGCCACTCAATACTCAGGTTTCAAATCGCAGTTCCACATTAACGCACATTTAGAACTCAAACTGGTATATACTGCTGTCTACTGCTTGCACCATTATACTGCTATCCTGATATAGACTGCTTGCCTGATTATACAGTTATTTTGCTTTGTATTGCTTGCTCCTTACACCGCTTGTCCCATTACACCGCTTGCCCCATTACACTGCTTGTGTCAGCCAGACATTCAAGCATATTGGCAGTACTGCAACTCAATACTCAGGTTTGTGTCAGCCAGACATTCAAGCATATTGGCAGTAATGCAACTCAATACTCAGGTTTCAAATTACAGTCCCAAAATAACGCACATATAAAACTCGGACTCGATCGTATATCCTGCTGTATACTGTTTGCCCCATTATACTGCTATCCTGCTATATACTGCTTTTCTGATTATACTGTTATCCTGTAATGCATTGCTTGTCCAATTATTCTGTTATTCTGCTATAGAATGTTTTCCTGATGTAGACTGCTTTCCTGATTATACTGTTATCTGCTATATACTGCTTGGCTGATTAAACTGTTATTCTGCTATATATTGCTTCCCTTGTTATACTGTTACCCTGTTATATACTGCTTGCCTGATTATACTCTAATTTTACTATGTATTGCTTGTTCCATTACACCGCTTGTCCCATTACACTGCTTGTCCCCATTACACCGCTCACCCCATTACACCGCTTGTCCCATTACACCGCTTGCCCCATTACATCGCTTGCTTTTTTAATACCTAATATAATGCGAGAAACTAGCAAGAAGTGAATGTAGATTCCAAGGTTGACTTGGGTAAATATCAGATTTCTTTTCCATTTGTGAGTTTGAATCATTTGCTGAAATAATTGCATTGGCTAGCCCATAATTAAATTTTTATTACACCGCTCGCCCCATTACACCGCTCNTTGGTGGACGTGACAATTAGACCATCCGAACTTTGAGGTGACGCGATCAATTAGCTATTATTCAAGATTAGTTCGTCACACACCGAATATATAAACCAATGCCGATTAATGTTACGTACGCAACTTGAAAACGTCCCACATGCCCGAAGAGCGTACAAGAAATTTAATCCTAGTATAATTCGGATAAACACTGCAAAAAGTTTGAAAAAGACTTCATGGCCCGGCGAAACACTTCTTATGACAGTATTTCTTGACATGGATCATGCTAGGAGTTGCTTATGACAAGTCCTGAACTCGACCAAAAAAATAATACAGCGCTCATGAATGTAGCAAAAGGATCCCTTGTGAATCAAATCACGAAAAGTACAAGAATTGGCAACAGGCCATATGGGCCTATTACTTCAGTGCCGACACTTCTATTCTATTCTATTTTAAAATAAGACACCAGGGAATTCGTACCTTGTTTCCATGATGAAATCGAACTCCGACTGCTCTCTTGTTCTTGTCGAAGAGAATCTAAGAAATATAATAGAGGACCGATTAACTCCAATCGTGTTACATATTTTTTTCGAAATGATATATTGATATACATACGTTAGCAAACTAGCATACATTCTCTGTTCTTTCCTACACTTTGTGCGGTATTGAATATTGTAAATGTATAATACAAAACATCGGTTAAACATTGCCAATAACTTTGAATTACCCGTCACACGAGACACCAAATGATTTTAGTAGTACAACAAATGGAAGAATAACAAACCGTACTTCTAGCCTAGGCTGACTTCGCTGAGATCCGATAAAATTTATAACGTAATAACATTTAAGAACGTAACTCAACCTGCGAATAAAATGTTGATGCGTAAAATTGGTGACTATTTCTTTTTGTGTTTACAATCTTAAAATGTTTCAAACCTTATTTTATGAATTTTTTCATATAAAAAATAATGTTTCAACTGCTTTTGGCGTTATTTAATTGTTTTCAAGCGACAGCTTATCAGTGTTTATTAAGAATTAAGATCGGACGTAATTCACAAAGCAGAAATATGTGGCTGTAAGAACAGCGGAAAAATGCAACCTTACGTTACGTTAGGTTACGATAGGCTTTGATACATTATTAAACTTAAAATATAAGTTTGTTATATCAACCTTAACTGAAATTTTCACACAATTCTTGGAGTCATGAGATTCCCTGTAAAATACTTATAAAGTCCCATCTGTTTGTAGATAGAATTTTAAACGTTATTCCTCGAAAATTATGGGATAGCGAAAAAACTAGTTTCATTTTACCATTTTAAAGTAAAAATAACTAAACAAAATATTTTTACATGCATTGTATGAGCAAAAATAATGAAGATATCTGAATGAAAGCAATTTTCAAAACAGACCTTCGTGACGGTCGCCATTGGCCGTACGTGGAGGTTGCGGAGGCGCGCGAGGGGTCGCAAGAAGCTCTCCGACGTGGAGCTCCTGAGCGCCTTACGCACCGTCACCTGCGTCGCTGAGAAGCCTGGCCCCACCAGCGACGTGCCAGGTTAACAACGACCAAATTAGGATCTCGCATTATTATTACTCGCAAATATATTTTCCATATTATATTTGCCACATTATATATATCGGGTACATTATCAGCATATATCTCCATGAACATCAGGTAAATTTAGAAGTAGAGTTTGCCAAAGATATCTATTATATTTTCCACATTATATTACGTAGTGCTTTATAATTTCTGTGCTATACTAACTTCATAACTATAACAATGATGATTGTTTAGTTAATGCAGCCTGACCTATCTGGGAGCCGGCGTTGGGATCGATGACTCGGTAGCCAAGTTCCCTGCCCGCTGCCAAGAAGGCGCCCAGCACGGGCGTGCGGAAGAGCTTGTGCTCCACGCTGTACCGTCCGCCTCTGCTGCGGTACGCAGCTGCCGGCCGCAAAATATTCATCACGTATCGGGACATTAGGAGAATAATTTTATCGCACATACAGTGGGGGGAAATAAATATTCGTACACTTGAAAAATCGTATTTTAATGTATGATTATTGTATGTAAGCACACAAACTTAACAGGAAAAGTGATTTAAATTATGTATAGAGACGCATAGTATTGAAAAATACTATCAAAAGAAATTAAATCTCAATGCAACAAATTTTTTGTTGCATTGAGATTTAATTTCTATTGATGCTATTTTTGAATACAATGTGCCTCTATACATAATATAAATCACTTCTCCTGTTCAGTTTGTGTACGTACATACATTAAAATACGATTTTTCTAGTGTACGAATATTTATTTCCCCCCACTGTATTTTTAGTAATTTCATAATACTAATTAATAGTTACGTTATCATTTTCCCACTCGTATCCGTTTTAGGGTTAATTAATTTAGGTCGCGTATCGGCACATTAGGATAAAAATTTTATCGCGCATACGGTATTTATAAGTACTAATTCTTTAATACTAATTAAATTGCAATTAATTATTTTCTCGATCGTATCCATTTTAGGGTTAATTGATTTATTTAAATTCTAATTTAATCACTAACATATTCAATGAAATGAGCACGTGGACAACAGAAGCTTAAAGATACCGCCAGGCCTGATTACCTGCTTACCAGCATGCTTAGCCCATCCGTCCACTGTAATAATTAATGAATAAATCAATACGACTTTGTGTTCTTTTTCGCCCTTACCAATAAAGTTGGCGCCGGTAGTTCTGGCCAGATTAGCCTAAGGCCATTAATCTTAAGGCCATTAGTCCTAAGGCCATTAATCTTAAGGCCATTAGTCCTAAGGCCATTAATCGTAAAGCCATTAATCCTAAGGTCGGATTATCCTAAGACCAGTATATTTCAACCTAGGACAACCAGTAAAACTTACCCAGCTTATCTACGACCTCTCCAATCCCAAAAATGAAATTCAAAGCTTACCACAAAAACCATCAGAAGTGGAATCTTTTTCCTAGTTTCCTAATTGCTAAGAACTGTCTGAATCTAAGTAATTATTTGATAAGATTCATAAAAAGGAAAAAAAGTTTCCTTAATTACCACTTTAAATTTTGATAAAAATTCCACAATTAATTAAATTGTAAGGAATTATAAGTACTACTGATTATAGCGAGTCGGTCATGTTCTGTGCAATACAATTAATAATGGATCATGAAGGAGATTATGAGAACCCGTATATAGTTCCTGAAGCAAATATTATTTTTTTATTATAAATAAAACTATAAAAAGTTATAGGTAACACAGGCTGCTGGTCAACTTAAGCAATTCAAAACAGCGAAAAACTGCATATTTCTGGGCTAACTTTTACAATCTATCCTAAACCTTTCCAAGTCAGAACGTTTTTGATTATAAATCTCAAAACGCCTTGTTTGATGTCACGGTAAAGGCGTTAACAAAATAAGCATTTAAATTCGACTTGCCAGTTTCCGGGGTGATTTTCCCTCTGAAGTCCTCGGATTTCCTGAAGTAGGGCAGGACAGACTGGAAATCCCAGCCTTCGTTGCCCAGGGAAGCCCAGTAGTCGAAGTCCTGAGGGCTTCCCCTGACGTACTGCAGCCCGTTGATGGTCGTGCCTCCACCCACGCCCCTGCCCAGCGGCATCGGCACTGACTGCACACACGAGCCATCACCCACACGCTCGTCATTCCAAGCCATTATTCCCTTTAAACTATAATTAATTTACTTCCAAATGTTGTAGACTTTCAAATTCACGTAGATCAATGTTTCTGAGGTCACTAGTGACCAAGAGACTTAAACATCAAATATCAAGTTTTGGTACTCAAAGGCCTTGAGTTCTAAATGAATTGCGCCGTTTGAAAACGTTTTGAAAACCAGTTTTAGCACTGAAAATGATGGATGTACGTAAATAATCATTTGAATACTCATTCAATAATCATAAATAATCATTTGAATAATCATTAATGATTTGAATAATCATTAAACAATCATTCCCTGAGATGGTCCTTGGAGCTCACATTGCCGACGTAAGCGTGCTGGGAGTGGCGCTGCGGCACCGTTCTTAGCCGCCAGTCGCGGTCACCGCCGATGAGGAGCGGGTTGAGTCCCGGCACCGCGGACTCGGGGGGCGCTGCCGGTCCCGCCTCCAGCAGCAGCACCATCGCCCCTGCCTCCGCCAGCCGCGCTGCCACCACGCTTCCTGCTGCTCCTGCACCCACTGGAAATATAACAAATACCGATAATTATTTTGAGTATACATATCTGTCCTCATCTCTGTAATCGCCAATATTTATCAAGCCCCAACGGTAGTATAATAAATAGAACGACTGGCAAGAGTCTGGCTTCAACTTCGTACTGCAGGGGTTCCTGCAGCCGCACAACTGCAGACGACTGCGTTATTACACTCAATCTTTATGTGGGCAAATTTTTAGTAGTAATAATGTATTTTGGACAGATGAAATTAAATTTCGTGTGTTGGATTCACCCAAATTGCACTGGTAGGTTGGCCGGTGGGCTGCTCAGCTCAATTACAGAAAAATGTCACTTTTCTTGGATGGGACTTTCCCGTTATAAAGCCTTATGCCGATTGGCTGAACAGTTAGGTACTTTGAAATGTTAATATTCATTTGCTTGAAACCCACATTAACTAAAAATAGAGCCATAGATAGATAATGCAGAGGAATACACCCATACTCATTGAAGTTTACTAGAGTCCATGGAGCTGGTATCCGAAATCCGAAACGGTTTCGATAAAAAGATGGCGCAATTACTTGGCTTTTATGACTATTAAATTCTAGGTTAAAATGTTACAATTTGTAAATTAGTCGTACCCACAACGAAGTCGTATGCAGGCAGTGTGGGCAGACCGGCTGGGTAGCGGTAGGGCAAGTGTTGGCTGAAGGCTGCTAGCAGCACCAGACGCAGCGTGGTGATGGACAGCGTCGTCACTCCTGACATGAGGCTGCAAACCAACAGCGACTAATATACTCGGGCCAAAACATATCAATAGTACAGCACTACGCTCACATAAACCAATAATAACTTGCCTTAATGGGGTTTTTATACGTAGAAATGCAAATGCCGATCACAATTGTCGTCCATGAATACACTCGAGCGTCCCAGGGCATGAAGTTTCAAGAAAAAGGTAAACCATTTCATGCAATTTCCCGGAGCTGGATGCACTTGAAAAACTAATGGGCAAATATCATGTAAAACACAAGCAATGTTTGGAACCACGAATGCGAACGAAAAGAGCCTAATAAAGGCATCAATAATATATTAACATCGAATAGACGCCGGAAACCTAACGCGCGGTCGCATGAGACGGATGTAAAGCCTTGATCTGAGCAGTGTTTCGGCGTGAGTTCCTTTATTGATCAAAAAATAATGTCGCTCAAATGTCAATAGCAACGCCAGGCCTTCAGAGATGTAATTTCAGCTCAATATTTTCTCGGAAGTAAAATAACATCTCATAAATAACAAGGCCTCCATTGTCTCGAAATTCCCATAACTACAACATAACCATAATTTTTAGGTACTTCAAACCTTCATATCTTAAGCGCTCATTTCCAGCTTTCTGCTTAAACTTCAAAATGAAGCAAATAAAGACAAGATGCGACATAATAGAAGCAAGCGTAAGGAATTTTTCCCTCCGCAGAGAGTTATCCTCGTCTAGAAATTATTTCAAATTGATTTAAGAAGGAATGAAGCCAGTGTCAACAATGAAAGAAGATTTAATAGATTTAATTTGAGATCTTCAGCTGTACAAGAAGGAAGAGGTTCCTATCATCGAGGTACTCCAAAATTAGAAAAAAATATCGTCCAGGTCAGTTTAATGGGAGCCGAGACTTGAAGTTTAGAAAAAGACATAATGAGTAAGAAAATGCGTATAGTTAAAGTAACGTTAAAACCGCGGTGACATTAGAACATGGCTGTGAATATGTCAGAGTTTCAATATTGCATTAATTCCAGTGTAAAGCTAACTTTATTAAATCAAAATAAATGCACGTACAAGATGCTTTTCGACATTCTGTTTAGTGGCAATAGGCAAGTTTCCATAGTATAGATTGTACGCGGCCACATTTAATGTGATGGAAAACCGCGAGAGTTACTAAGTTTAAAGGTCGCCACTGTTCCAAATTTTCACCAAAACATGCTTGAACTGTTAAACACATTGGCATTTCAGTTAAGTTGAACAGTTGAAGTAGAGGCAACGATTTAAGTCAACAGTAAAAAAGCCGCCAATCAAAGAAGGCCATTCCCGAAGTTTTATTAGAATTTATGGTGCAGGTCAAGCAATGGTTTGGTATTTAATTGATAATTCGATACGAGGTAACTGCATGACGCTAAGTTTGACGGGCCTGCCAAAGTGTTCAAAGGAGGTGAAATACGCATGCACCATAAACAAAAGAATAACTCAGCAAAGGTATATGCACAACAAATTAAGACCTTAAGTAGATATTTGGGAAAAAATGGTGCTTCATTATAAGTACAGTGAAAACTCATGTGATCGTTTTAGTACAGTTTTGGAGTAGATATATCTTTAGAGAGCCGCGGCACTTCCTCATGAAGACGAGCCCGCTCTGTTCTTCATTGCAAGCTTCAAGCAACCTGGTTGAAAAATTTCCCCAACAGACAAGATAAGATGAGGAGGCATCATAGTTTCGTGATCCCAAGTTACGTGACGACTGTTAAAGACAAGATAAGGAATCATAAAAGCAAGTTTCGTGACGACTATTCGCATTGCTTGCGGTGGTGTTTACATAACACGTTGACTACGAAGTGGTACATATGCGTACCACGAAATATATTTCTCCAGGACGTAGTGGTACATAATTCAGGTTGCTTAAAATCGGCCAAATCCGAGAGCAAAAAAAGGCCAAATAAGGCCGATAACTCAATATATAGTACGTAGTTTATTTGTAGGTTCTGCTATAAAAATTCCATTTATTTTCTTTTTGCAGTATTTAAAGTTTAATTATGAAGTACCCCTATCATAAATTTTAGCCGGCCAACGCAATTGAGAAAAACTAAATCACGGAATTTGTCCGGAAAGAATGAATGTCTGGCAACCCTGTTTGAAAAAAGTACAAAAAGTGAAATAGTAGTATACAAGATGAAGCAATCGGAGTCAAAGTGTCAAGCTATCCTCATCAGTCTCTCCAGATTCTCATAAAAAATTTCGGCATCGTATTAACCGGCACCTCCATGCCTGTCAAAGCTACCTTTCCCAATCCCATCAGGATACTTATTCTCTCTACAGAATGAAGTTATACCTTAAGGTATAACTTATTTTATCAGGGATTTATTATAACTCTAAGGAGTTGATTTAGGGATAATTAAGAGCGAATATAATGAATACAAATAATTAATGGTCCTCACTTGCTCATGAACTCCATGGCCCGGCCCAAAAACGGTGTTAGCGCAGCATCGCGGTACCTGCAAAAAATGCGTCACCGAATTCAACTACGAAGAAGTTTTTCGATTGCTATTTTTTTACTTATCCGCATGACGGAGGTTCCTTTTAGTCAAAAAGATGGCATCTGGTGTTAAAATTTTCGTTTTTTTTCGTGGAATTTAAATGCATTTTGAGTGTATAGAGCCGAGACGAAGCTAAATAAATCGTTTTCGATGAAGGTTATCTTTTCAGACCAGCGCTATAGGTCATCGTACACTATATATACGTTAGCTCCTTTACTGACCGAAAGGCTTAGTGTATAACTGGATCTACTTAAGTACAATAGTGAATCCAAATATCATTGCATCTTTAACAAATTGAAATCTGACTATTCCAATAAATTAAAACATATGGCATACTTACCCATATGCTTACCATATGGCATGATAAAAAGCATACTTACCACAAGCCGGTGTTTCCAAATAACCAGTGGTTCTTTTATATTTAAACACAGCGTTATAACCGCTCACCAAATAGATTATCTTCCATATCTTTCACAATGGCTGTAAGAAATCTCCGCGTGCAAACGCTGTTTTTATAGGAACGAAGTTTTTAATCAATTTTTAAAGCCCGTGGAAGAGATCTCCTAGATTTTCCATAAAGAACGCATAGCCCCTGCAGTAGAGCAAAAGTAGATAGGACAAATAAAGTTTAAGCGCTATTGTTTCTCGAGGAGAAGCTGAGAACACTGGCAGCTGGCGGTGTGAATTAAAAAAATTAAGAATGCGCAACACTCTTGCGTACAAGCGCGGGTCTTTGTGTGACAAAAGTTTTTTCGGTATAAAAAAGTTAGTCGTCGCTGAACGGTGCACAAAATTAAGAAATTGATTAAATTGAGAACCTACACGTCAGAGTATAGCACCAACACGTCAGAGTATAGCGCCTACACGTCAGAGTATCGCAACAACACGTCAGAGTATAACCCCAAAAAGTAGCACAAATTTTTCAATGAAATATCGAAATTGCAAAATCGTAAAGACAGCGCCACAACTGCATGCAACAGCGTGTGAATGTTACTTGAGCTGCATTTCTTTTCTCGCGAAAACAAATTGAAAAAAAAATCAAATAAACTCCATAGAAACCCCTTATTATACCTGAAGGCCTGCAATGAATTCAGCGTTTGTTCCTCTGAAAATGAATCAATTATTGAAAAATTAAATGACCTAATCCTTCACCTGAGTGCAGGAAAAATGTCGCATCACTTTAATCTAAGTGAAAACTTTGATTCCGCTTTTTCACATTTATAATACCTGTCACGACGTTCTTTTCCTTGAGTTGAAAACTATCTTCTAATGAATGAACATCGCAACAGGGAATAAATGAGATGTATGCTCAGTGTGAATTATTCGTCATCACTAATCTCATGCACGGCTGCAGGAGTTTTAGACAATATTGCCTTAGAACTAAGTAAAGGTGATAGCTTGTCGTCGTAATCAAGCCAGAATTGAAGCAGTTCCATTTTGACCAAAACAATATCGCTGATGCTCTAACGTCTTAATGAAACCAGAATTGAAATAGATGTATAATGAAAAAAATACCGCTTTTAGGCTAGCGTCTTAATGAAACCAGAATTGAAACAGATTTATTATGAATAAATATCGCTTATAGCCTAGCGTTCAATGAAGCCAGAATTGAAACAGATGTATTATGAAGAAATATCGCTTATGGCCTAACGTCGAAATAAAGCAAGAATTGAAGCACAAGCACAGTTAGGAGCCAAGGCCGGCAGCTGTGCCTGTGTAGAAGCTCGTAATTGTCATGTGAAATGCATGCAATTTGTCGGTTTGCATTTGGATAAGGAATCTTCATAATAGCATCTGTGCTAATCTTAATAACAGCATCCCTGCTATGTTGTGGTATGAAATCTTAAAATAAATTGAATGTCGCGTTAAGACAAACGAACATCGAACCATGCTCTGACTTCTCAAAAATTTTCTAACAACTTCAACAATTCTTTCAACAACTCATGAATAAAACGGGCTTATCAAGAATATTATACTATTGAATATGTGCATACACTAAAATTGTTCAGAAATTTAACAAATGAGCTCATCGAGAAAAACCTTAAAACTTGTCATTGATTTCAAAGGAAAATCTGGGAATGAGAACTAGACTGAATTCCATCAAATCTCATGAAATATGTCGCGAGAAACCAGTCATGTTACTCCCCGGTCTCGATGAGGTCACGACTCATCAAAACCGCAGTGCGTCTCGCTCTCGCAGTTCCATAAAGCACGTTCGTCGGACGCGGCAAAACTTGTAACTTTAATATCTAACGACATCAATACATTATTGTTCATATTTGTACTGAGAAAATTTCATCTTATGTGCAGAGCAATTGGGTAATTAGCGAAAATGACAAAAATTAAAATTTTGGAATATACTTTTTCTTATCCATAATCTTGAAAGAATATGTCACGCAGCATCAGCCACGAGCGCTTCAGATGTTCGAGCGCACAATAACCATCGTTTTTACCACTTTAATATCAAGTACAGTAAAAAAAAGTTGCCGCAAAATCAAATATAATTAATTAAAAAATAAAAAATCAGATTAAATCAAGTACAGCTGCCGAATAAAATATGTATAAGATAAGAATGTCAGCAGAATTAATATACATCATGCAATTGTAGTCAGGAAGATGTCGCCAAAAAGAGCTTACAACACAATTGTCTAGCGCACCTATGGCAAATGCGCCTCATTACTGTTGCCAGATTCCATCAATAAATTCATAGGCCTAGTCTGCATAATGCAGCCGCAAAAATCAAACCGAGAGAATATCTTGATGAATTAGCAGGCTGATTCATCCGCTAACAAGCTTTTTCGATTCACGAAACAAGACTATTTAATGAAACAAATGTAATTTACTAACCTCCTGGCGCTCTACTATTGTAACAAGAGGTCCTGAGAACGAACAATGACTTTCAGATTGATAAGGGATTTTCGTTTTGAAGCTTCAGTCAGTCTTTGCCACTGTCATCTACGGCGCACACAACCCCGAGGTGTCTGCCAGTGCCGGCACACTGGCGAGTGGCGACTGGCGAGTTGTACGCGGCCACGGGTGACAGGATTTTGTATCTGTTGCAAGGGGATCGGTCTTCGTCAAACGTTCATCCGTTTATCCAAAGTAACTGACATATAAATTTGAATGGTTCATGCCAATGAAAGAATTATTACCATGTGAGTTGTGACGGAGTAATTGTGGCTGATTCCCATAAAAAATATCAAAAAATAAAAATTTAAAATATCAACAAATTTTTCAATCTGCATCAGTTACAACTTTTGTACGCCTGTTTCGCTAATAAAAAAAATACTTTTAGACTAGCAATATTGATCGAATCTTTAGCAAAAATTAAAACATTCATTCAAACACTACTTACTCATCCATTTGCTTCGATTTTTTCCTCAAGGAAAATGAAAAAGTTATCATTAGTTACTACGTTACTACCGAATTCTCACCTGTTAAGATTTCCGCAAAAGTCCCATGAAGAGATGAGAACACACAATTAAAGAGATGAGAAGGCTGAAGAATAGTTCCTATTCAGGGCTTTTCATTTCGATGCGAGATTTCCTGTTCGGCTTCGAGAGGTTAGGTGCGGCAGTCACGATGAATAGGAAAGAGTTAGGCTAGAGATCGCTCATGCACTGCGTAGTTAGCTACATTATTGAGATGAATGTGATTAGTCGTACAAAAAATGTTCGAAGCTAATTTATTGACTCCTATCACGACTTACTTTATTTACTGATCTCATTTGTCATTTAAATTCCTTTAACACATGTATTTGTTTTATTCTGGATCAACCTTAGATTACCAGATATTAATTTTAGAGTCGCTTGTTTACCTAACTGTCGACTACTTTACTTCTGTATTCATTGAGTTTTCGTTCTACCTCAAACCTGCCGTACATTTCGGACCAAATCTTTTCCACTTTAAATAAATTTTTTTTATAATTAAAGTTCAGATATTTCAATGCAGAGAAAGTGCTGTACATGATCACGTGCAGTAATAACGAACATGACGCATACTTTCTCATTGGCGCGCATTCAGACGTCAGACATAGGAACGTTTGCATTTATCCATTTTAGCACCCTGCATCAGACCTATAAATTTAAAGCGGCAAGATTCTACTGGGTAAATTGACGGCTGACCACCGTCGGCCATTAAGTAGCCGCGCACCGATGTTTATGCCGATAATTTTCTTAAACAATGTTCAAAAAGTTAGTGTAGTAATGTTGGTTATATCAAGCTACCATCTTCAAGCAAAAAATTTGTTTACTTACTCTCTTTATTGGAAATTCGCCCTAGAGAGGCACTAATTTGTATCCTATACAAGCTTCAAGCTCAGTTTGTAGAGTACTCTTAAAGCGCAGCGCGTTGCGGTTGCGCAGTAAACACTAATTCGTTAATTTTAAGAATGGGAGCTTCGAGCCTTCAAAGTTATACATACGGAAAAAATAATTCTAAAGTAATTAAATTTGATGTAAGCAACAATTTAGTCACGAAAAAATCCTTCCTTCACTAGAGCGTAGGTACACTAATTTCAAAATTAAAACACAAGTTATCAATATTTTTATTCGTGTCTACCATCATTGTTTAATGAACTCCAAATTTTGAATGCTTCGTTACAGACAAATTAAAGAAAGTTGAATGTCTTCCTCACCAACTAACTCCATTAATAAACCACCGATCTCAACATTTTCCGTTTTGGCTTCTGTTGCAGCTGCGCTCAGAGCTTTCTTACAGTTTCCGATTCACGCCCTTGATTTTCAGTTCATAATCGCCTATGGTAAGGACCAGCTTCTTGACCTCTTGCTGCAATGCTTGCAGTTTTTGCAGAGACTCGCGTTTTTCGTGTTCAGCGCGCGCCAGGGCTTCCTTGTGTTGCTGGTTGCGGCAGCACTGGCCGTTGTAGAGAGCGTTCTTCTCGCACAGCTGAACCTGGAGACGGTTTACGCGGGCCCTCAACTGGCTTACAACAACACTCTTAGTCGCTTGCTCACATTCTAATCCCTGAAGAATTGGTTACGCTTCTCTCTGAGAATCCAATGCTTCCTGTAATTACTTCTACAGACAACACTTAGGCTTTTCCAGTGATTCCTTCTCGGCTAAAATTTGCTGTAATTTTTCTACTTCGGCCTCGAGGTCCATATTCACAGAGCTCGCCTCACTCACGACTTCGTTGTACTGTCGTCGCACCTTTTCGATTTGACAGGCCAAATCAGCCAACTGCTCTTCATTCTCTTTCTTAACCTCTCCATCAGTTGTGACTACGATGTTGTCGATCTCGTTGAGTTTACCCATCAAACGCCGCTAGTTTTGCGCCTTCACAAGCTTTGTCTTGGCGTCGCAAAGCTTCCCGTGATTCTTCCTGTTATTCTGGGCCAGTACAGTAGCGAGGTGAGCGATGTTTTGAGTGGCACATTTCAGGCTATCAACTTTCTGGCGCATTTCGCGCTTCTGTTGTCTCAGTTCTTCGTACTGGGATTCCAATTCAGCGTACCTCTCGTTCTCGGTTTGGACGAATTCATTCATTCTCTTCTCGTTGGACATGAGGTTTTCGTTGAGCTTCCTGTCGACGCTGCTTAGCTCGTGCATCATCTCGTCAGGCTGTGGCTGTTTAATCTTGCGTCGTCCACTCAGCTCCTGCCTGAGAGCTTCACAAACTTTCTGAGATTGCATTGCTTTCGTCGCTGTGATCGTTTTGCGTTTTCGAATCTTGAAGTTTCAATGTTCAAATTCTTGAAAACCTTTGAAAACTTCGAAATTTGTGGGCCCTCTTATAGGCGATGTATAGTGGATACCAAACGCCTGATATTTCACGTGAAAATATGTTAGCGTAAAAAATTGATCTACGCGACTTCCAAATGATATATTTCCTGCATAAAATTAGAGGAAGGCTCGATTTTTAGCGAGTTTCTATGCATCTCATTTCATTCGAAAGAAAATTGGATACCGACTCATGAAACCTGCGGTTCCTCATATCGGTAGGGATCTTAGGATAGCTGTAGGTTTGTTGGAGGCCAGAGAGTGATTTAATGAATAATTTTTATTGTCATTTTCAAAGTTGTGAATGAGACTTCTGGTAAGATTTGGAAGTTCGATGATAATGTGTCCACGGGACAGTTCATTTTATTCGTATGACTCTTCGAATAAGCATAATTTCTTATTGAATAATATAATAATGAGAAAATTTTCAATAAAAGTCACTATCTTGCCTTCAAAAACTTGCATTGAAGTACAGTATTATGATCTATGCACAGGCTGAGTGAAATCCACGTTTATGGAATCGCAGAAAATGTTACAATTAGTTGTGCCGATACGTTGGAGCTGAGGTTAATAAACACTAAAAGCTAAAAGTAGATCAATTCTTATATGCGACACAAGGTTTGTGGGGAAATACATCTCTCGTTTCAATGCAGATAGTTGAAAAACGTTTGAAGCAATTGCAAGAGCCCAATTCCCAGATAAGACAGTCTTCAAATGACATCATTCCTCAATCACCAATATTGAACATACAGATGTGGTCGACGTACGGCCGTCATAATCGATTAACAGTTTAGGTATGCAAGCAAACCACACAATCACTTGATTCTTCCTTTATTTTAAAGCAATTTTGTTTCAATGTACAGCACGCAATTTCAACCAAAACGAATATAATTATTATAATTTAAAACATATACAAATACTTTTAAGAAGCTAGGCAGTAAAATTGTATAATTAGCGCTCTATCTTAACAGAACAGTTCTGCAAATCACATAGCAGGCACACAATTACATGCGTTACGCGCCGCTCTAGCCTGGCGTGACCTGGGACTGCTACGTCCTCCACACAAACAGAAAATACTGAGAATTATTCATAAGCTTAGCGTAGTTGCAGTGATCTAAGTGCTCCCACAACTTCACACATGCTTCAAACAACCTATATATATATTAGATATTTTATAGGCTTCGGTTTTCACCTCATTTCTAAACAGATATAGAGAGTTACAACACTTTTAGTCCTTTAAACAGAACGCATCATTGAGTGGCTGTGTAGCTTTTATATAACTTCGCTTCAGTTGAATTCTTGACTATTTTGGACACTCCTGCGTCGGAATGGCAATCGCGGCTTATTTCTTATGTTAATCTTGGCTACAATTGTATTAGCAATACATATTCTTTGTCAGAATTTCGTCGAAAATACAATTTTTCACATAATGATTCGCATAAACTTTAGTAATGCTGCGGGCTACGCCGAGCCACATAATTACATCATTACAACCATATTGATGTAACAGCTGATGTAACTCTCTTGATGTGATAGCTGCTATTACTTCTCTGCCTGTAATACATCACATCACAATAACTCTCTTGATGTAACAGCTGCTATTACTTTGCCCTGCAGGCACAGGGTAAATCTCACTTTAAATATTACAATAAACTATTACATCAACATTAATGGAAGAACGAGTTGAGGCGGAACTCCTATTTTTCTTAGCATCACTCTAGAATAACGGACTTGCACGACGAAGCACTGCACTAACAATGAAACATTAATTATCACGACTATACAAGCTGCACCATCAGTACTGCCTGTCACTAAAAAAATTAGTTATTTAGACTCAACGCCACAACATGAGGTGTAGGAGCAACGTTTTTTCGTGTGCATGGGCGAAACTGCACAAAATCAACATAACTATTCAACGAATTTTTAGAAAAAAAGTTCAAAAACCGCAATTCATTTCCGATTCATTCTTTACAATAGGATTACAGAACTAAATAATTAGTAACAAAACATCTCTTCGTGCGACGCATTCAATTCTCTAAAAAACAGAACCTTGCAAATAATGCTCATGTGTGATAATGAGCATTATTACAGTTCATCAAATAATGCTCATCCAAGATAATGATGAACTGTAAGAGACAAGCGTATCACATATATCTATTCTACGATACAATAATCATTCTTAATTCGACCCTATTGTATTCTCATCAACTTCACCCTCGTAATTTCCTATTATGATCAATATATTATCAAAACGACCTACGCCGTGCACTGAACGCACTTCATTTCCTCTCGATTTTCCTCCCGAACTGCCGTGATGAACTCTGCTACTCGACTTGTTTCTTCCGAAACAACTTATTTTGGAACTCGTGCATCAGCGGTTCAGGCAGGAAACATTAATGTGCACAGATGCATGGGAATAAGATACGGGAAGGTAAAATTTGCACCAGTGATTCCCGAACTTTATTAGACGAGTTTCGCGAAGAGGTCCTGATCCGTAGTTGCGTATAACCAGGTAACCTTCACACACCACCAACTTATACTAAATAATACTTTTTATTTACCTCTAAATATTATCATGCGTAAAAGTTTTGCCTAAATACCTTTTATAAACAATATTAGCTCATTTTAGTTCAAAGGATGTTGAAGCAAGCAAATTTACGGTTTAAATTTAACGATAAACCGCTGGGTCACGTGAGTTGAATGTTGCAACAGTTGCAGATCGTTCATTTTGGGTCGGGCAGCAATAATTTTTACGAAGTAATAAATAAGTTTCTAAATATTGTTCCTACCCTGTATACGCATACGTACCGCCTGGAATGCCATATTTTGACAAGCACTGGCCTACGCACTCGAACCTCTTGCAGTTTTCGCTACTCAAAACGTAACACACAGAGTTGGACAATAAAAACTCGAGTTCTTCATTTAATTTAAGGTAAAAATTATCAAGATTAGCAGAATGCAGGGACGGTCACGTTGTACAACAGAACAAACCAAAATGAATCAGAGATTTAATTTGTTCTACGTCTAACGATCACTTCTGGTTTCTGAGGAATACGAATAAAAATAAGCAGTTCATGAAGTCGTAACAATCAAAATTCGATTCATGATACGTCCATCTCAACCACAGAGGCTCAATCGACATACAGGAACACGACAGCTTTTGGGCCGCTTTTGAATAGAGCTTTAAACATTTTCTACATCATTAAAATAAATAAATGCAACTTAAAACAATTTAGTTACATTTTCTAGTTAAAACGTGGCTCGGATTAGTTATATGCAAAATAAATTTGTTCACGAAACCATTTCGATACATTAGTTATTTTTAGTTATTGCCTAGACCGATATGAAGGCGAGATTCGTTAGGTCGCGAGTGGGAACATGACAGTAGGAGGCACGGCCTGGCGGAATAATAAAAGGAAATGCTACTAAACGCTGAGTGCCTCTCATGGAGTTTGGGAATAAAGTCTATGTCGAGATATGGACCGCTCAAAGATACGGTCGAAGGACACGATTTTAGATCTTCTGTGAACAAGTAATGAATAGTACAAGAATCGGCGACATGACACATCAGGCCTAGGTACTCTTCAGCGCCGACATCATTATGGTATGTTAACCTTAATCCTTTAGACTCAACGAGGCGAGCAAGTTTAAGATTCACTCTAAATTAGCGATGGCTTTCCTGCTCAAACTTGGTGCCGCGACATCACCGACAAAACGTGGAAGTATGGCTCATTACCATCCGCAATAGAATAGAAGTGTCGGCACTGAAGAAATAGGCCCATGGCCTGTAGCCGATTCTTGAATTTTTTCGCGACTTGATTCACAAAGGATCCGGCCTTTGGAACCCGATCTTTCTATAACTGACGATTGATTGAGCCAATACATTAATACTTTCATAATCAGAGAGGTTCAGAGGTTCTGCACTCAAACGACAGAAATGCTCATCATTTAGACTTGACATAAAAAGCGATCAATGCTACGTTGGTAACAAATTGCCGATCAAAATCGAGGGCGAACAAATTGCTCCATATATTTTTTTTTTTTTCAACAACAAACGTGGGACATAAAGCTTTCAATTCCATTTTCAAATCTGAGTACACAAAACACATAGTACTAATGTCATTAACATGCTTAAATAGTAGTAGTAAAAGAAGGATGGTTTGCTAGCACTTCAGATGCCAAGCGATTCAGCGCCGGAGGTCAAAAAGTAACATCGCAGTTATAAAGTAAAATCGCAGTTAAAAAGTAACATCGCAATTAACAACCGGCACGTGCAGAAACGTTTTTTATGAAGATGTAGTGAATTTTCTTGACGTTTTTTGCCTTGAATTCCAGGAAAAATATAATGCCAATTTTCAATGCTTCATTGTTGAATTGAGACATCAAGAGTTTGTTACCGATACGTAACTTAATATACATAACTTAACATGTATTAATATACATAACTTAACATAACTTGATAACATGACGTCAAAGGAAGTGACGTACGAATTCACTAATTCTAAGCCCGAGAAAGTATGAGCTTTCGGTAATGGAAATTAAGTCCAAAAAATACGTAATTTCGAGTTGAGTCCTCGACACAAAGTCCTACAAACATTCACAGAAGTGAACGGCATAAAAAATATTTACAGTATTCACATGCGGGCCGTAAGTTGTGACGTGACCGCGAAAAAGCTGCCGGGGCTCCATGCAGCTGGCGCTGTGTGGAGTCTCATTTCCTAGAGGGTCTAGGAAATATTCTCGTTATACGTCATCAAAAAATATAAATTTTAACATTAGATTGATTAAACGGTACATTATAAGAGAACCTTAGTCCGATCTTTCATTTAACTTCAGCTGAAAATAAATGATTTCCGATATAAAAAAACATGCATCAAGTTGCATGCCATATTACAGAATTCTTCAATCGAGGCAAGGTTTTCTTTAATACAGGGTGATTCACGGAAACTTCCCGATTTGAAAACTCAATAAAAAGAACTAGTGAAGAGATCTTTAAAATATGAATTTTAGTGAAAAAGACATTACCTGAATTTTTCTATCATTCAGTTTTAAGATGACATCGGACAAATGACAGCCCGCATTGTCAATGCATTCAGTTGGTCGATTTTTAAAGTTCCGTTCAACTCGCTGAAGCATATTGACGGGCATGTTGGCGATGGCTTGATGTATGTTGTTCTTCGTATAAGGTTTGTCCTTGGACTGTCATTGTTAACAATTGTCTCTTGCATTCACACTTCCACTTGCCCTAAATGTGTTCACTCAAGTAACAAACGATATTCGATCAGGAACCCGACCTGGGAGACGAATACGGACACAGAGGCTCCATCGGCATACAGAAACACGGATGTTTTTGAAAAAGTTTTAAACATTTTCTACATCATTAAAATCACCACCATCACTTATAGTAGCGATAATGTAACGACCATTAAGAAATTACACCTCGAAAGTAAACGCACGCTGCTCACTTGTCCAATGCATAGTGGCAAGTGACTAAGCGGGACACAAAACTCATGACCTTGCATTTCATACGAAATACTCATACTGCATGCGCGAAATACAAAACAGGAAATTTGCGTGAATCACTCTGTACCAACAGAACAAGAACATGGCAGGCGTCGCAGATTAACAAGAAATTTTCTTTTTTCCTTTAGTCTTTTGGGTCAAGTAAATCTTACATCCAATGCATGAAAATAATAGCAAATAAAGTATCTGATGTTCACACGGGCCCAATATTCAAGACTGCCAGACTCATCAAGCGAGGTGTCGGAGATGCTTGCTGTCCAACAGGCGAAACCAACATAAATACGGCTGACACAAAAACTGTGGTGCGATCGGTCGTGCGCCGAGAGCGGCGAACTCTCGGCGACTTTTTGTAGACTTTTTTGCCAAGAGTTTCTTTAGCCTTAACGAATCACAACCGAAGATCCCAGTAACCTAATCAAAGCCATGATTTCTAAGTCTAGTTTGATTGAGTTGCCATTGTCGTTAAACTAACCCGTCTCTTCTTGAGTATAACAAACAATCGTGTAAACTATGGAGTCAGAACAACATTAAGAACATTTACAACGCACAGGACATTAGCAATGAAGGGTGTTAAGTCACATTCTTTCCTCTTCCTGTCTTACATCACAACGAACATTCGAGCCATGGAATGGGAGATCATAAGCCTACAAATGGCAAGAAGGAACCTCTCCAGGGCTAATGACAGTTAAATGATGCGTCGTATAACACAAAGTGAAAGACCAAGCAATGAATCGTACCTATATTCCGATAAACTTTTTTTTCAACATCATCATCAAGAAACGGAGTGCGATCAGTCATTTCACTCGGAAGCAAAGTATGCAAAGACACTTAAATTTAGATCCCTGATTACAATTAGCAGAAGACAGACTAAATAACAGCGCCAGCATCATCATAACGGGCAGTTGACATAATAAAATTGGCTCTCAAGCATGATACGCTGAGGCCCTCCTAGCCTGACGCGGACTGCACTCGACTTGTGGACTGGGCAGCACAAGTCCAATATACATGGAATATCCACATGAATCATATTGTATCGCTGCAAGTTCTACTGAAAGTACTCTAATGTTCCCGTCAGCGCAAATAGAAGTACGTATTAGCCTCTAGCCTGCACGTCGAGAGATTCTAATTAATTATCCACTCCTTGACTATTTGCGCGCCTATAGGCACGTATTTGCCTCTAGTCAGCACGTCGGGAGACTCTAATTAACTAATTATTCACTCCTTGACTATTTGTGCCCCTATAGGGATACGTATTTGCCTTTAGCCAGCACGTCGGCAGGTTCTAATTAATAACTAATTATTCACTCCTTGGCTATTTGTGCCACTATAGGCACGTATCTACGTGCCTATAGCACGTCGGGAGGTTCTCTCTAGCCAGAACCTCTAGCCAGCACGCCGGGAGGTTCTAATTAATTATTCATTCCTTGACTATTTGCGCGCCTATAGGCATGTATTTGCCAGCACGTCGGGAGGTTCTAATTAATTATTTATTCACTCCTTGGCTATTTGCGCGCCTATAGGCACGTATTTGCCTTCAGGCCTGTAGACAAACTTGCCGGTCCTGAGCCTGCGGATGAGTTCCTTCCAGAGCATCGAGCGCTCCTTCTGCAGCTTGGACATGAGGCTCGAGTTCTCGGTGGCTCTCCGTGAGAGGTAAGGCAGCACTTCGTTCACGGGGCCGTACGGAACATATTTGTACACGGAGTAGCCCGACTGACCTGCACAATAAAAATTATCGTCAGTTCCAATAGAATTAAAATGTCTTTAAAGAAGAATTCAGATAGTAAAGAAGAATTTCGTTGTTCCAAGAAGATCCTTCTCGCTATCTTAAGATAAAGTATGGACTGAAAAGCTACAATTGAGTGAAATCAAAGGATATTTGATTTGGACACCAGACGAAGACGATTTTGACACCTCGAGTTTCACTCGCAATGCACTAGAAAGGCAATATAAAATAACAGCAACATCGCAAAGTAAAAGAGGCGGTAGAGGCAACATTGCAATGCACTAGTGAGGGCGGTAGAGGCAACTAGTGCACTAGTGAGGGTAGAGGCAACATCACACTGCACTAGTGAGTGTAGAGGCAACATCACAATGCACTAGTGAGGGCGGTAGAGGCAACATCACACTGCACTAGTGAAGGCGGTAGAGGCAACATCTCTAGTGAGGCCATAATGCACTAGTGAGGCCGTAATGCACTAGTGAGGCCATAAGGCACTAGTGAGGCCATAATGCACTAGTGAGGGCGTAGGGACAACATCGCACCCAGGGGCAGGGAGATGTGGTCGCACATGCCCAGCAGTTGGCCGAAGCAGATGAGGCGGTCCTCAGGCTGCACGCCGAACTGCTTCATGTTGCGTATGGTGAAGCGCACCGTGTCTTCGTTGTGTGATGCCACCATGATCGCGATCTGCAAAAGTAATTTGTAGTAATGCATCCCTTAATTAATTGATAGTAGTAATTTATAGTAATACAGTATACAGTCGATCAATAGTAATACATTGATAATAATACAAGAGCAAACAAATTTGGGTCAGTAACTAGAATCTGGCTTAGAAAATCTAGAAAAACAAAAGAAGCCACTTTAGTTCTCAAGCTTTAATCCATTAATGACACATTCTTAAATCGGCCTCGCTGTGCAAATGTCGCAATTTTATAATTTTTTAGGTTTATATAGAGACAAATAGAGACGTCAAATACCAATTTAACGTCAAATATAGAGACGTCCAATACCCTTGCATTGGCTTAGGTCTTCCGTCGTCTCTACTTTGTTAGAATATTTAATTGAACTCAGAGGCCGTCATGATTTTCACTTTGATACAACGAGCGGGTGACAACGTACTGGTTAACGCCACCTTGGTTGAGGGAGGCAGTCTGGTTACCTTCGTAGGACATCCATCCTCTTTGTTTTTCTTTATCTTCTGCAAGGCCTCAAGAAGACATCGGTGGTACATCTCTGAGGTGGCGTCGAAGCTCGGGTTTATGGGATCCTCGTAGCCAAGTGCTTCTGCCCGTAGCCGCTCCTGTACAATAACAGAGACATTAAAAATCTAACAAATTCATCGAGTTTATTCAGTGATATCCTAAGTGACGATTCGTCGAATAGTGCCCAACACACACCAAGGTTTGCAGCTCTGTACACTTCAAATATCAAAATAGGAGTCGTATAGCAGGAATATCGCTAGAGTCAACGAAGAGTTTTACTCCTAGCAGAAGAGATTGTCTTAACCCTTTGCTTGTTATACCAAATTTAAGATCTCCTCAATACTAAGTCAGTAATGAAATTATTACATAGGAATAGCAGCAACCTCCTGGTCAGCTCCAATCTCCGATATTATTCATTACGCATTCAAAAAAGAAATAATTAATCAAAAAAAGCAGCAAACTTTTGACCCGCTCCTTTCACCGATAACTATGATTAGGAATTCACAAATTCAATAATTAATCAAGAAGAGCAGAAAGAACATTTGACCTGCTCCATGTATGCGCCGCGCACGAGTTTGCAGCCGAAGAAGAATTTCTGTCTGTAACACTGCTCGAGGTCGAGTACGAGGTCGTTGTAGGTGTTCTTCAGGTAGCACTGATACGTGTTGAACACGATAGCCTTCTCTGTGTTGTATTTCTTCATGAGTTCCATCGTGAGGCGGGAGATGGCGGGCTGGAAGTAGGTTTGCTCAGCGTCCACCATCACTCGCACGTCGCGTTCCTGTGCGTACTAAACACAAATTTTTATTCAGAAATGCATATTTACTTCCCTATGCACTCATAATGTCAATTATAGAGTCAAATATAAATGTCCCCCACGCGTATTTTTCTGCGTAGTAATTCATCTTTTTGCGAGATTTTTGTTGAAATGAAACAGAATAATGTCACAATATAGGGAAAATGAATTAACATAATAATTAACAAATTAATTAAAATTAATAAACTGCTTTAATGAATAAATTATTTAAATCACACGGATAGAATATTCACCTGGAAAATAGTATGTAACCTTCTCATCATGTTCTTGAACATTTCCTCCTCCTCTTTGGTGAGCGTGGAGATGAGAGGTTCCATCTTGCCCGTGACCAGGTTGGGCACCCTGAAGACGTCCTGTAGCAACATGTTGGTGTCGATGAGACCAGACCACGAGAAGAGGTGGATCAGACCTTTCTTGTCGTACGTCATGTTGTCGAGCCACTTCTGCACCGCCTCGTTGTCCACAGGCCCGATCGCTTCCTGTCTGAAACAACAAACAAGGCTTGCGCTCAATGTTGTGTTACAGACATAGGTCAAAAATGTGATACTATTTATAGTTAAACGTCAATAACGATCGATTAAAAGTTTCGATGAAGGACACCGACTTGTCGAAAGTATTCGACTACCTGAAAAGTGACAGACTGAGGATACATCAACTCTAAAAAATATCATTCCCCACGACACCTTCATCAGTAAGGATAAACGCTCAACAACAACCGCCAAGAAGAAAAAAGATAACTTATTTTTCACTGCAGTGAGTGACAGAGAGCGCATTTTCTCGTCGACGAAAACGTGAAGTCACGGAAGGACAGACAGACGGACATGGCGAGCACAGCACATAGTGCATTTATTCCATAAATGAGAAAATGCGCTAAAAACACTCCTCATTCAAACAACTCACACTCCCCCCAGACGCCATAGCAAGGCAGCACCGGTTATTCCATAGCTCCAAAATACTCGCACTAAGTCCCTAACTTACAACCTGTAGAAATAAATACTCAGCTGACCATGCTGCCCCCGGACGGCAGTTGTTTTCATCACGTTTGGGTGTAGCTGGCCCACAAAAAACACGCGCAAATCCAATACACCACCACGCTGACGGACATACGCGACTCACCGAGTGACTTACAGTAAAGATGAGACCGAAAACCCAGTACGAAATGAACCAACTAGCCCCCCACCTTCCTCCGAGGCTCGAGTGACTCACTCACCGCCTTCACCTTCATCATCATCAATATGCACCAACATTATCCCCTTTTTTCATCATATCATCTGAGAAAATACAAAAGAAATAAATAATAAAATTATGAAAACAGCGAAAACGCAAGTAAATAGTAAGAGCAGGAATAATTTTTTGTTAATTGTGCTCAATAAATGAAAATAATATAAATAAAGAGCCACCACCCTCTCATCGCCCACCCGCTTAAACCATCCAGGGTTACGGTTACCGACCCCCTCCCCAACCCCAATTAAACCCCTGTCACCTATAAACCACCCAATCGTGCGCAATGCGTCATTTTCATATCCTACTGCCTTTTTATTTCTCCTTTCTCTTTCTGGCTACTCTGAGCCCCTTCTTAATTCTCTTCCACACTTTCCTAGTGGCACCGCAACAACAACAACAACAATAAGCTCGGTCACACACGCAGCTGAGGAACTGGAAAAAATCAAGAAGAGTGAAGCAGACACCAAAAGCAGCTTCAGGGCCATCACCAGCTACAAAAGCTCCTGATATATTAAGTGTCGTTCAATTCGGTAGGCAGACATCTCTCGGAGCTCGCCAATCGCACGAGCTCGAAATATGGAGGCGACAGTGTATAAGCTGTCATCGATTGAGGCGGTAGCCGAGCTACAACAGCAGTCGCGACGCTCTGTTTCCCGAAGGTCATGCTCCAGTAAAACACAATTTCTTGAGAAATTGACCTCGTGGTTTACCTCGTGGTAAATATTCCTCAACAAAGTGGCTTGTATGGAACACAGTGCGCTCAAGACGACACAACAAGCGAGCGCAATCACACGACGACCACGGCGATGTATGGCAAAGATTCGCCTCTCATGCCTTGCTGTTCTACGATGCTGTAAACCACATGACCTCAGAAGCTCGGTTGAGGAGCTTTAAATTGAACGAGGGATTCATTACTGCATTGACCTACCAAATAGAACCTCGGGGTAAACATTTCAATATCATTCAAAAAATTTAGTCTAAAAGATTATCAAACCCTTCGTAGGGGCGAGGGCAAAAACGTTTAGTTTACCTGCTCTGGCTTCAAACTTCTACAACTAATTTCTTAGCTACGTAATAACAATAAATAAAAAACAAAAACTCGAAGGATTATATGACGCAAAATGAATTGGGAGGAATTGGAGAAAACACGTCACACTGATTTTTGAAGTTACATTCATACACACAATACTCTGAGGGACAGAGAAAATTCTCATGCACACAAGCATGTACTAGTCTATACTTAAGCTGTTAAGTATGGTAGAAAAATATTATTTTAACATTACATACTTGAATCGCGCCTTGAAGACATCCGAGCTGATGTCTGAAGATATGACGGCACCTCCACAGGTTCCCGTCACCTTGTGGAAGTACTGGCGAGTGCGCGCTATTGTCTCAGACAGCTGCATCTGTGCGAGCGCCACGGGCGTGAGAGCAACAGGTAGAAAACAAGTCAAACAACATGGTAAAATACGGAGAAAAATAAGGGAAAAGATAAAGAAACACAAATAAATATTGAGGGTAGACAAGTGAGATAATTTACGAAGGGTGGAAGGAAGACAGAAGGCAAGAAAAAAGGAATAAAGATCGAAACATTAGAGAAAGGATGTAAAGCAGATGGCAGATGATGAAGCATTAAAAGAAAGCCAAAGAGAAACAGAGGAAACCAGAAGAGAAATAGAGAAATAGCTGTAGTTAAACACAGATATTACATAAATTATTTCTGAAGAAATTTACAAGTAGGTATTTAAAAATAAATCGATAAAGAATTCGTAAGGTACAACAGCTGAGCAGAATCAATGAATGAATAAAAAGATTTTCCTAGAGCACCGACCGGAAATGCATGTTGAATTCTCCCAGACACTGCATGGTAATTTAGGCACACAATTCTGGGTTCAGGCGAATAGCCTGGAGCTCGGTCAACAGTAGAAGGATCGATGCCAGATCGATGACTTGTTTTACTGACCACAACGGCTAGCTAATGCGATCGAAGACTAGCGTGATCTGTACCTAGCCTCGACTCAAATCATTGCTGCGTTGATTCTCGAAAAAATACTGAATCCGTTTACATTAGGGCTTTAAGATGAAGATTTGTTTCGTAATTTCGTTGGTAATTTAGTTGTACAAAGTAAGTATACGATTAACAGTTGACAGTAAATTCAAATCACGCAGTGATTAATTAACTTAACTTGAATAATGTTCAATCAGCTGCAAGTAATTTAATATCGACTGAAGAAGAGTACTAAGAGAAAATTCCATTACAGTAATAAATTAATTTATTTTCAAACTTACGAGGAGCTGAGGCCGACCGAGGGCCGTCATCTTGATGGCGGCGAAGCCAGTGCCGTAGGTGGCGTCTGTGAGATAAAAAAAATTTCAGTTTGTCTCCAAATTATACCTGAAACACAACGATTTTTACGTAAGTGATCTTCATAATATCTGTATTTATTAATTTAGTACAATTAATCACGATAAATGTGAAGATTAAGTATCACCATTACTCTGAATTAGTAGAATGTTCAAATTCGAGCTCCATCTATAATCAATACTACTCATTTCTGATAACTATTCCAAATAAAGAATTTTTCTGTTGGTAGCAGAATAGCATGATTATTTATTACCATCTACACAAACACATCGTTAATTTCACAATTAAAAACGAATAATATAATATCAGTGCGAATCTGTAAATACAGCGAAGAATACATCCACTAAGCTCAATTAGCAGGAGCGCTCCTCTGACTTGGTAGCGGGATTTCATTTTAATGCAAACTGTGATCAAGTGAATTTACCGTAAAACTAACTTGGTGAAAGTAAATCATTCATTTACACAAGAAAAAAAATGATTAAATAACTCATTTGGCAGCAAATGATACAGGGACAGAGACCGGCATATATAGGGGACGGTTGGGATAATGGAAGGCACGGTTGGGATCATGGAATAAGCCAGTCCGCGGCACAAAAACTCAGGGACGGACGCTTTCCGGTTCAAACGCGTTCGAAGCGACTAGCTCAGTCCTGACGCCGGCCAGCATATCTTGATCAGCCTCAACGACACAGACTTGACGCAATTTCCAAGGAAAATAACTCAATAGTACAACATTACAAATGCAGCGGAAAGTCTTGTTTATTTAAAGATTGTTGATACGAATTCTTTGATTAAATTCGTCTGTTGAAGGTTGTTGAATTAAATTCGTTGGTTTTCAACAACTTAATGGTACCATGAAAATATTAACAACACAATATGAGCACTGAAATAACTCGTGACACAACGATTAGCATAGTGAATGCAGGTGTCACTTTGTTTGACAAAAATCGATTTAAACTCCATCCTTAGGGACGGTTACATGCGACCTTTTGGAACTTTTAATTAACGCTTGGGCCAGACAGTTTAAAGGCAACCTTGAGCGAAGAAATCTGACCGCGTGTGTACTGGAAAATGTCCACTCGATAATTGATGAAGAGCTAAGGGTGAAGTATGGCTGGGAAGGAATTTGCGCAGGGTTAGGCAGGTAAAATCCACAGAAGGCAGCAAAGGTCGTCGCGCTAATGAGTACGTATGCCAAATCGAGTGCATTTCTTGTGCTGCACAATATGCGTCTAATATACCTACTCCGAACCCTATACCAGGATCATACACATCAGTTGTTGAAAGAAGAGGCACGGCGCTAAATTGAAGGCTAAGCGTGAGCTGCAATTGAATGACGAGCGTGGGTGAGAGGAATAACAATGAGCAACATGGAGACAATGCAGTTCTCTTGGGCCCTACTATATCAAGAATAGTTATGAGCTCTGTACATCAATCGGCCAATCACTGGCGGTTTTTCAAGCTGAATCCACCAATCACAAGCGAGAACACGGCCGCTACGTGTACTTTAGCCGCTACGTATACTTAGAGCGTGGTCAGCCCCATCGAATAGCATTTAAGAATCAGTCCCCACTTTGGGCTTCTTATCTCATCATTAAATTGAGGGCGTTATTTCGAACAACTTGCGATTTACACGATAGGAGCATCGATGGGCTGAATGATTCCCGATGAGGCAACTATACGAGACCCCGCACAGCGCTCTGTATTTCTAATGACAACACACGGGTCAAAGCACACAGGATTTTGCGGATATGATCGCACTTGCGTGATAGGAAACTATGAGTTCAGAAGCACTGACGTCATGATCTATTACGACATGCACTACAAAAAAGTGAATAATCATAAATAATCGGGGATTTCAGCGCGCAAAGACTTGAATTACACAACGCAACTGACCTACGAACCCACACCCATTTTTTGCAGTTGGGTGAGACGGTGCATGAACAAACTACATTAATTTCATTTGGGTGAGATGATGCATAAACCTACACGCATTAACTGCATGAGTGTTCAGTGAGATGAGCTATAAACAAAAACTCTTTACTTTGTGTTGGGTGAGAAAGCAGGTAAATAACTCACCAGACACGGCGTCTATGCAGTTAATGTAAACTCTTTACTTTGTGTTGGGTGAGAAAGCAGGTAAATAACTCACCCGACACGGCGTCTATGCAGTTAATGTAAAACCCTTCACTTTGTGTTGGGCGAGAAAGCAGGAAGATAGCAACTCACCAGACACGGCGTCTATGCAGTTAATGAAGGTCTCCATGTTTTTCTCGCACTGGGCTTCGTTGACATAGAAGTAGGTGCGGGCGCCGGACACCTTGAGACGGCGGTCGGCGAACTCGCGCTGCGGTGTGTACTTCTCCATCTGGGGCGGCTTGACCGACGCAGACGCCTCAGTTGCACACGAGCTGTCATGAATAGAATAGAATAGTATAGAATAGAATAGAATAAAAGAGAATAGAATAGAAGAGAATAGAATAGAATAGATGTGTCGGGCACTGAAGAAATAGGCTCATGGCCTGTTGCCGATTCTTGAATTTATCGTTACTTGATTCACAAGGGATCCGGTCTTTGGAACCCGATCTTTGCATAACTGACGATTGATTGAGATAGCTGCTGGACTTATTGCCTGGTCCGTAATTTGCTAGGCATTGAAAACGCGTCCAGCATCAACATGCATTCATTGTACATCAACATGAACTGTATAACGTATGAAATTATGTTTCCAACACTACGCGTCCAGCATCAACAAGCATTCACTGTGCATCAACATGAACGGTAGGTATAACGTATAAAATTATGTTTCCAGCATTATCACAGATTTAAAAGAAGCTTAATGAATTTTTGGTTTTCCTAAGCATCTTATTTTATTGTATTTTGTGTATCTAATTTCAATACCGATTGCGGAAGAGCATTCAAGCATTAAAAATTTCATACAAATACGGTGCATAACACTTGAAAACTAAATACAATTAGTCGAGATATACACAAAGATATACAGCAGTGAGATGCAAATAGAAGCAATTCCAAAATAAAAAAATTGCCACTTGTTCACTAGTTAGGCTATGCGAACTTTAGGTTCAGTGCGACACTAGAAGGCTCTTCTTGTTTGTATAATTTGAAACAACATAAACTATAACATAATAAACCGGTATCAGAGAGGAGTATTCTTCAATCCACATAATTTTCAACTCATTTAATGTATCTAACACGTTTCAGTCAAAATATATTAAACGTGTAGAATAGCAACATTTTCCATGCAACAATAAATGGGACAGAAAATCCAACCCTCTTCCTGTTACCTGTATGATATTTTCACATCCAAAACGATAGTCTACGTACTGGCATCAACAAATAATTAGTGGAGGGGATGCTCCCATTATCCAAAATAATATTACATAAAATTTGGAAAATTTTTATCGAAATAAAGAAATCCAGGTCGCTGCTTCTGCAGCGGCCCGTTAACGCATTTCTTCGGTAAGAAATTACTTGCTTTGAAACAAGGCTGGAGGAAAGGGTCTGATAGGCCTATGTCATATACCTATGTTCAATGCACCAACTGCTAACAGCGACGTTAAGTGCAGTCAATATTTAAATTTCTTCCAGTATCCAAATTATTGCAAGTTTGAAGCATAAACGTGGTGTGGACACTACCTTATACCCGTATTCTGTAGCCTTCATTGATCAAATCAATGCGGCAGCGGCCGCTCAACATCTGCTCAATATAATTTTTCATATCGAAAGAAATAAAGATAATTCCCGGGTACAGCACCTCGATATTGACCGCAATGTAAATGGAGAAGCTGAAAGTTAACTGTTCCAATAATCATCACGAAGAAGGCATAGTAACTAACGATGTTAGATTTTTTTAACTTTCACGAATTTTTTTACCTTGCCACTCACTCTCTACAATAAGCAAAGAATAGGGGAAAATATCGCCCAGTACACGATAAATCATCCACTTAATTGTTTCTCTTTGCTCAGCTCACAAACGAGACATTTGTATGCTAGAAAATCATATTTGAACAGAAAATAATAAATAAAAACGTTTTTACGAAACAATCATCCGCAAGAGCGATATTCATTTTCGCTGATAATATGTCCCTACTTTACACTTCATTGCACATGCTATCAATTTCGTGGAAAAAAATGCTAACAGCATCCTCGATTCGATGGACTGACACAATAAACGAGTAACGGACAAGCGTACACCGATAATAGAATCATCGAGAAACAAATAATAAATAGAAAAACAGTATTAAAACAAGGAACAATAGCGAAGGGAAGATTGTGCAGCGTGAGCAAAAAAAGATCCACACGACTGTGAGGTGAACTCATTCTATCAAGATCGTGTAACCATTCCTCCGACGTGCCCTATAAACCACATTAGTTTAGAGTTCTAATGACACGGACATCGAAGTGAATGCCACGTACTTTACTTTTAATTTAAAAACAGTAGAAAAAAATTGTGTAATGCGCTACAGAAGCTCGGCTCATCGTTTAACCTGCCTAAAAGAACAAGTATTATTGCAACTTTTGTGAACCACAAGGGCTTTAAAACAAGGTCGTAAAATCATTGAGGTATCACAAAGTAGAACTAATTCCTTCCTTTTTAAATGTTTAAATGCTGGATTGTATTTGCGCTCATGCCTTCAAAAGTGTGTTGACAATCAATCATGTTCTCTGATATGAATTACCTGACGTTGAAAGCCGATTGATTAAAATTAAATATCTGAATAAAAGCTACATACAATTATACGTAAAACAAAAATAAATACATAAATGCCATCGACAATGAGCTATAGGCAAGTATTACTATTGGAGCCTATTACACTTTATTGTGTATAAAAAATATATTTAATGTATAACTACAATACTTGAATTATTTCAGCAACTGCTCAGTTAATAAAGCGTCGACTTTTTTAACTATCTCGTGTTAAATGTCTTTTGATGTTAGTACCAGAATCGCGGTACGTTATTCATGTAATAATTGTGGCTTTAAATACTAATGGCGAAAGCAAAAAATTCGAAGAGAAGGGAAACATCACGCAAACGTGCGTTGTGAGTCTGTCGCAAAAGAATCAATATCCAGCAGGTCAGTTCGACCAGTTCTAAGATGGTCAGATGAATCTGATCAGCATACAGTGCATACAAATTTCTCTGTTAAATTTGAAAAATTCAAAATAATATGCGAAATTTTATAAAATGCGAAAATGTTAAATTTAATTGAGGATTGACCTAAATTGATTGACTAGGTTTCCGATGTTCCAATAAATAAAAACACAAATCTACTACAATGCGATAAAACGTAAAATCACTTCCGACGCATGCAGTATTGTATTTGGAAGTTGAAAGGCTAACTTATTCAACAGATGAATACTAAAGGCACTGACAACAAATTAAGATCAACAATGAATACGGCGTTATCGACATACCCCACCAGGGGCTGTGGGGCGCCCGGCTTCCCGCCTTCGTCACTAGCTTGTGACATCAGAGACCTGCACAGACATCACCCCAGGGCCTATACTTTAAAAAGTTAAAAGATCGTAAGTTCATCAGCCAATCATTGACGACCTTTCAAGCAAAATCCACCAATCATAGACAAGAAAATAGAGCGAAAGTACCTGCGTTCACGTAACGAATTTTGAAGGTATGGCCCCAGATCTTCAACACTCCCGGTAGTATGCGTGTATAATTCCCCCAGCAGAAATAATCACCCGTAAACTGCTGAGTTATCGCAATTCTTCCGAGTATTCGTTTCTGGAACAATCGCTATAATCTACGTTCCAAAAATGCACGCCAACCCAAGTGCTTGAAACCTTGAAACATCAAATCTAAATTCCTCAAACGCGTGAGAATTTCAGCTCCTAAGAAAACTCAAACCAAAGTTTCTAAAACCAATGCAAATGTAAGAGATCCTAGAACGAATGCGGGTAAAGATTCTGAAGTGTCCGACAATCTCCGTAATTTCATGATCGATGTGGTGAACGGTCGTCACATCGATCGTCATTAATCAATCTATGCGATCGAGATTCCATTTATTGAAATCAAGTGAATTAAAATCGATAGCATGTGAGAATAGATGAGACTCACAATGGAGTCAACAGTTTGACATTACTTCAGAGATAACTTGAACACTGCTTAGTGTTATAAATCTTAGTGATCATTGAGAGCGACCCAAAATATTTAACCAACCTAATTTTCACCGGCCAGTCACGCGAGTTGGTGGATTTACAACACTTCAAATTGTATTTTTTTTTCAAATTTCGTTTTCCATTATTGAAACAACGCGAAAGAGACCTGAAGAATGCCACTGCATGTATTGCGATGATTTAATTACTGCCCACCTACGGTTTAAAAAGTCGCTGCTAGTAAACAACAGTCTTGTGGGTGAAAGTAATGCTAAAGAACAGAGAAGGAAACAGCCAGCACAGCGGCTCGCTCAGTAGCATACAAAGTTATTTACCAACTTATCTTAAATTTCATGCAAACTTTGCTTGGTAAAGACTTCAAATAAAGTTATCGGGAAACGTTTTTTAATAAAATTTAATTTCCGTAATTTTTGCAATTGCAATAAATATAGGTTTTTCACTTTTCACAATAGCAAAGAAGTCAGCAGCACAAATCCAATAAAAATGTGGCACAGAAAGTGAGCATTTTTTATCAGGTCTAGACAAAAAACAACGGAGGATCATTAATGTTTGTATTAAGTCGGCAGAAGATTAATGAAAAAGATGAGACAACACACTTAAGATATTAGCCGTAGAATAGGAAAAATAGTTATTTCGTTGAGCTTATTTATTAGTGCTGACATATGACTACGGTTTAGGTGAACTCAATAAGCATCTCTTGGCAAGGGAAACACATCGTGTGCCGCGGCGATCGCAGCTCGCTATTCCCTGCACGGAACGGCGCAAGCAGAACGCGCGTGTCAATATCGAGTCAATTGAGGAACGCAGGGAAATTAAGGTGAAGAATTCACGTGCTGAGTTGCGCGTTTCGGATACGAATTCCTGCAACCTACAAATTATTTTTGTTGTGTGCAATCCAATATTTTTTACCTCATTTCGCTTCAGGAGGTTACAATCGCGGGATAGGAATAATACATTTGCAAGCGGTAAATTTTGTTTTCATTGAGCGTGATAACTGTTCCTCTTGACCTCCTTCTCAAGACCATCGAAAAACTCTAATACTGATTCAAACTTAAAAATATGGTCTATGGTTTTACGAAATTATCATAATATGATTGTGCAACTCTATTGAAGAAGCAAAACTTGTACCCATTCCTGGCGCGTATTTGATTTAAGGAAATTTACGGAGATTGATGGTGTAGATTCTAGCCGAGTGAGAAAACTTCATTCTGGACAAATACTAATCAATAGTGATCATGTTCGACAAAT